AGCTTGGCAGGACCACGCGAGAGCTGCCACAACCCTCGCATCCCACCCGAGAGAGGCGATGCCAGCGCGACAGAGGCACCTGGGTTAAGCATGCAGTTCAGTGAAAGCAAGCACACGAGCGCGGGGTCGTTGCCATCCGCGGCTGAACGGGAAAGGGCGAAGACTCCAGCGCAGGAACGGTGACTGCACAGCCAAGAGCAAGTCCTCAGGTAGCGTAGACAAACTCCTCCGTACGGGGAAGTGAATCCTCTGCCCGCTCTGTGAACAGAGCCCAGGCCCCTGCATCAGCAGAGCTGAAACAGAAGCCATGTGTGAGGCTGAAGTTTAGCTTCTTCGGGAAGAAAAAAACCCAAACCCCAAAGGCAGGAGTAGGATGGCCGTGCAACACAACTGTTGCTCCTTCCTGCACAAGCGCAGCACGGACTGCACGGCAGATGGAAATTTGGCAGCTGTTCGCACCTGCTCCCTGCATCCCTGCTTATGAAACCATAAACCGAGCACCGGCACAGCAACTTGGAGATTTAATTCTGTTCTAAACAGCTGCAACATAAACGAGTGGGTCAGCCTGAAAAAGTGCTGGTGCTGCCTCCCAACTTGGCCGATTTCCATGAGCTAAATAAATCTCTTCCGTATCGTGTTCCACAAAGTTACAGCGCGCAAGGAAAGAAATACCACCATCAGGTTAACAAAATTAAATTAAAAATACAACGCAGCTCTTTACCGCAGTAATTGCCAGACAGCTGGAGCTGTCAAGTCGTAAAAGCACCAGTGGTCTGCTTCTTCCCCGGTCCTAAAAGTCTCGTGTTTCGGAGGAGCGCTCCTTTGAGCTGGGACCACTCCGAACCATTTTGTACACCAGTTTAGAAACCCCTCACCCCAGCTAACACAGGAAAGGGCAACCGTCCCGCAGGCCAGCCATGGCAGGTCTTGTTTTCCCAAGACGTGAGCTGACAAGGAGACAGGTACCGGGGGGGGACACAACAAAACCAACCCACCCACCTACCCAAAAAGCCCACGCTGTAGGGTGGCAGCAGGTTTTTGGGAAAACATCTCTTCCCCCCTCAGGAACCGCGGCTCTCTCCATCTCGCCCTCACCTCTCTGCCTTTTCACCCCCCGCTGGCCCCTCCCTCCGCACGGGAGCCCCCCGAGGGGCTGGGTACCACCACCTCCTGCCTTCCAAAGCACATGGAACCTCTGAGCTATGAATTTGGCA